TAGAGCCCCAGCAGGAAACACCCTAAAGCACTTATAGACTGATGTAATCGGGAGGTCTTGGAAGGAGGTCAGCATCCATTTTTACATTTGGTGTCTGCTTTCTTGGTGACATTTGGAGATAAGGATCACATCTTAGAGCATGGTTTTAACACCGGTTGTGCTTTCACTGAGTGCTATCTGTTCACTTATGACTGGGTATAATATATACAGAGAACACTATTGTTTCCCATTTTATACTTTGTATATGATATCAACCATTATACCACCTGCCAACAGCCGTCCATATGCTAGGGGTCATTGAGGGATTGAACCCCAGCAGGAGACATCTTTGAGAGCTTGTTTAATCTCATTCGCGCAGAGAGGTCATTTAAGAAGTGTCCATTTGCACATAATTTGTATGCATGCAAGATGATACTCAGGAAGAAGATTTGATTCTTATCAACATATTAATTTCAAGCACTGATTAACGGACACATTGATGGACTTTTTTAGGTTTATTATTTGTTGCACTGCACCATTTTATTTACTTCTGCATCATGCTTTATGCAGTGCTGAGTGCTATGTATAGCACTATATCCAGTGGTGCATATTTCCTACTGATACTCTGCAGTGAACTGCAGTTTATGTTACTAGAGAAAATGGTCTGGAGTTAAAATGAAAAAAAAAAGGGTTTTATTTTGCTTGTAGAGTTTTTGGGTGGTTGATTGGGGTACTATTATTTTTTTTACATTTTTTTGTATTTGAACTTTATATTATTTGGGTTTTATTTTGCTAGAGTATTATAATTATATTTTTTTTATTTATACAGAGCCCACAGCAGCAACAGCAGAATAATTTGTCACCACAAAAGCAGCTCTTTTTATTTATTACAAATTATTGAGGTGCTATTTTGCCCCCCCAAAACTGTATAGTTTTCAGGTCACCCAACCACCATACTTTAAAAGAAGGGATTAGGCTCCAAATTATTAGCATCATATCTGGCAGACCCACAAAGAAAAGCAGAAGTTCATTTGCAGCTATGAGTGGGTGAGTAGCTTCTTTGTCTATGGGCTAATGAGGTGGTTGCAGACATGGGGAATCTTCTGTAGGCAGGGCCAGGGGTGGACTGACAACTCATGGGGCCCCCGGGCAATAGGGGATCATGGGGTCCCTGTGTCCTTGCCCAAACTCAAAAACGCCTATGAAAAAGGTACCAGGGGCATCTCATGGGGTCCCCTACTGACCCTGGACCCTCGGGCAGTGCCCGAGTTTCCAAATGGTCAGTCCACCCCTGGGCAGGGCATGTTTGTAATTGTTTTGAGTGTTGGGCATGCTACACAGCCAGAGCATGCAGAGGAAGTGGTGGAGTTGGTGGATTCTGCCCCCTTTTGGAAATTTTCTGCCTGTACTATACCATAGTGACAGTTTTCTGGCCTATATTCCTTCACCTATAAGGCCATCCCTGCCCTTCACATCATGTGGAAGGCAATGGTTCCACATCGATGGACAAGTACTTTTTCAGAATAATGTCATCTTCAACAATCATGAGGACCTCCTCATGCTCCTAAGCCCACAAAATGACCCTAGGATTTGTGACAACAAGGACCATTATTGGTTGAAAACCTCTTTGGTCCACACTACAAGGGCAAGTTCCAGAGCTCATTCTGACCTCATACAGGGAGTAGAGGATGGAACATCTGGAGGACACACTATGGAGCACTCATTTCCAGAGACTGACAGGATAATGTCCCATGGATAACATGTATCTGAGCTTAAAGTCCATGAAAGGAGGAAGTGGGGGTAGCTGCCTATCGATGCCTTTTTAAAAAATGTTTCAGTCCACAGCACCCAGGGATGTCTGCTGCCAACATCTATCAGCAGTGACTGCATCACATGGTGGATGATTAACTGGAAGCAAGAGTGCATGTAGAGGGCCTCTGAATAGATGACCATCTCAACTACTGGGTCATATGGATGGACAACTGGCCAAAGCTTTCTTGACTTTCATTCAGTACTGCAGGGGGACTTTGTGAGAGACATCTGTCCATGGGCACTGTTGCCTGAATGAAATTTGTGAAAATAAACCAGTTTTGGATCAGCAGTAGCTTCCAAGCCCCTGTTGGAGATGCTGCTGATTAACAGTTTGAGGATCCTGCCACTCTCCATGTTTTTCTGCATCCAAAGCTTCTCCTTTTAGAATTTCAGGCCACAAAAAATATCTTGCATGATGCCACCATTGCTATGTCCAGTCTCCTTGAGAACACCCATCCCTCTGCAGGCCACTGATAACATCTTCTGCCCCAGCATTAAGCTTGCAACCATTACCCTTTAAAACTGGGGCTATATCTGCTTTTTCTTTCAACAGCAATTTTATTGTGGGCACTTAATTTTTTTAGTGGCTTTTTCACAGTTGCAAATGCTCTGAAAAATTTTATCTGTGAGGTTATGGAGTTTGACTAAAACGACTAAAATACCATTGTGTGTGACAGTTGCAGATACAGTAAATGTTTGTTAAAGCAGGGTCCATTCTGTGCTCTGCAGAAAGTTTGTCACATTACAGTTTTTTTTTGCACCATCAACATCCAAAACCCATTTTTTGCAGCTGTGTGACAGTGGCAGATATGAATGGATTTTAATGTTTTTTTTAAAGCATGGTTCATCCTATGGTCCAGTAAGGTTACATACAAAGATACCAGAAAACACCACACCATCTGAACTATCGGTCAATTTTTTCTGTAGAAGTTAATACTGAAAAATTCCAGATTGGGGAGCTGAAACTTGTGTGAGATATGTCTGGTAATATTTTTGGGGAAAAGGCTCTCAATTATTAATGTTTTTGTTCTACATATGCTATGCAATAATTTTTCAGTACTGCTTCTAGTGCATCTAACTAAAAGCTAAAATAATGATTTTACAAAGAGAATTCCTTTAATATCCCCAAAATCCATACCAGACCCTTATCCGAGCATGCAGTCCAGGAGGTCAGGAAAAGGAGGGGATACTCCCCCTCCTGAACCATACCAGGCCCCATGCCCTCAACATGTGGGGGTGCTTTGAGGCAGGGGAGCTCCCCCAAAGCACCTTGTCCCCATGTTGCACCTTGTCCCCCTGGATGGTGGTTGTGGGTGACTGTGGGCAGGGGGGAATTATTGGAATCCATAAGCTCCCTTTAACAAGGGGGCCACCATATCCTGCCCCCCCCCCCCCATTTGAATGTGTAGGGGTACATAGTACCCCTACTCATTCACCAAAAGAGTGGTAAAAAAAAAGTAAAAATGCAACAGTTTTTGACAAGTCCTTTAAAAAAAAAAGTTCTCTCTGGTGTGGATCCAATTTATCTAATCATGATAAACACCACCCCAACCCAAAAAAGAGAGAAAAAAGAGGTCTGACCCTGGCAAAGGCTCCCGATAATTGACAGCTCAGTTGCCTGCTACCGCTAAATTAACTATGGGGACGGAGCCACTCTTATGACATCACCTACCAGGGCATGCTGCTTAAATGATGTCACAAGGGCACCACCTAGTTGCCCCTCCCCTTTGTTTACTTAGTAGTGGGAGGTGACAGAGCTGTTATTTGTTTGTAGCTTTCATCAGGGAAGACCATTTTTTTTTTCTCTTAGTTGGGTTGGCAGCTGGCATTCAGTGTGATTGAGATGGATCTACTTCTTGACCTACCGGGCTACATGTTCGGATAAGGGTTTGGTATTGATTTTGGGGGGACCCCCATGCCATTTTTTTTTTATATTTAACCTTGAGGTTGCCCTCAAAATTTATACCTGACCTAAGGGTCTGGTAAGGATTTTGGAGGGGATTGCATACAGTTTATTTTTTTTAATTTTGGCATGTGGTTCCACACAAAATTTATACCAAAACCAAAGGGCCTGGTATAGATTTGGGGGAGGGGCCGCCATGCTAGTTTTTCCATAATTTTATTGCCATCAATTGTTTTGTTTACATTTAGCTGTCAGCGAGGACCCCCGCTGACAGCTGATGACTCATTTGTTGTTAAGGACATGGGGGCCACCTGCTCCTTTATCACCATGTTGTTTACTAGTTGTTAAGGATGCCAACAGCTGCTGGCTCCTTAACTATCGCATGCCGGGACCACTACATATTTACCGCATTTATTTATTTCCAATTGTGTATTGACTTTAACTCATGTTTTATGGTGTATTTACTGAGCATTTTGCTTTATGTGATAAATACTGCTCCTTAACTCTGTATTTACTACTGTAAATAAATATGCCAACTACTATAGGCGTTAAATTACCACATGTTTTCACTACTAAAATACCTCATGACTTCATAAAATAACTCAGGTGGTATTATAGTAGCATTTTTTTGTTAATTACAAATTAAAAATTAAAATTAAAAATTAAACATTTTTGGTTAAAGCTTGTAGGAGGATTTCTTATTCTCCTCTGACTGCCCTGTGAGGCTGCATGATCCTTGATCCTCCCCAAAAAAAGAAAAACTCTCTAGCAATACACACCAAACTGAACATGTGCAGAATGCCTCCTACGGCTCTGTACTATCAGAGGATGGATTGGGGACTGTGGAAGAAGAGGAGGCTGGTTGGCTGGAGCTGGTCACATGGTACAGAGTGCTGTGATTAGCCCCATGTGGGCCAATCACAGACAACTAGGAAGAGAAGCGGAACTGTTTTGAATCAGATTGATTCATAACAGCTTTGGTTACATTGTGATCATGTGATCACATGGCACCTGGCCACAGTACATTGTGGGCAGGTGGTCAGGAAGCAGTTAATTAACCACTAGCCTACAGGGCACTTATACCCCCTTCCTGCCCAGGTCAATTTCCAGTGTTCAGCGCTGTTGCACTTTGAATGACAATTGCGCAGTCATGCAACACTGTACCCATATTACATTTTTATAAATTTTTTTGTGACAGATAGAGCTTTATTTTGGTGGTATTTAATAAGCTCTGGTTTTTTTTATTGTTTCTTAAACAAACCAACAACCACAGAAAATTTTGAAAAAAAAGTTTTTTCTTAGTTTATTATAAAATTTTGTAAATAAGTGATTTTTCTCCTTCACTGATGTGCGCTAATGAGACTGCAGTGATGGGCACTGATAGGCTGCACTGATGGACACTGATAGGTGGCACTGATGGGCACTGATGAGGAGGCACTGGTAGGTGGCACTGATGGGCATTGACAGGCATCACTGATGGGCACTGAAAGGCAGCACTCATATATGGCACTGATAGGCGGCACTGACTGGCACTGATGGGTGACACAGAAAGGCAACTCAGATAGGCACTGATATGTGGCATTGATGTGCACTGGTAGGCACTGATATGTGGCATTGATGTGGCACTGATGGGCACTGGCAGGTGGCATGGATGAGCACAAACAGCTGGCACTGATAGACACTGACAGGTGGTACTGCTGGGGCTACACAGATCATCAGGGCACACTGATCATCAGTGCCCTGATGATCAGTGTACATGTTCCCTCTGAGGGATGCCAATTACTGTCTCTGCTCTCCTCTCGAGCTGTCAGCATGACAGCTCATGAGGAGAGAAATGCTGATAACCGGCATTTCCCTATTTACATGTGATCAGCTGTGATTGGACACAGCTGATCACATGACTGAGCCGACATCATCGGCTCTTTCTGTTGATCGGTGATCCGCTGTGGCCGAGAGACACAGCGCACCACCGATCTCCACACTGCGCGCTCCCGGAGCCGCGCACGTGCGGTTAGAATGGGAGGACGTCCAATGATGTCCTCCCAGAACGAGAGAACCGCCTTGTGCCCGTCATTGTACTATATGGCGGGCGGGAGGCGGTTAAATATACTAAAGTATCCCAAATCAACAACTCAACAAAGAAAATACTCCATTCGTTATAAAGTGTTTCACTGTGGTGCATTTAAGCACATACAGTATGTTAATGTCCATTATAACATCCATTAACATGCGTTGTGCATGAGTGTGTTGATGCATGACAGTTTTTTTCAAAATGCAGCACACCACAACACACCAGCTAATGTGTTGTAGTGTGCATTGTGTTCTACTGTACAATACATTAGCATGTTATTCACAATGAATGGCACCGAAACACACAAAAAGGAGTTGATTTACTAATACTAGAGAGTTCAAAACTTGAGGCAGCTGTGCATGGTAGCCAATCAGCTTCTAATTTCAGCTGTATCAGATTTTGCACTCTTTAGTTTTAGTAAATCAACCTTAATGTACATAGAGCAAGTACACTGCCATACGTGGTGGCTATATGCATGAGCATGTACATTTTAGCACACATTTCCACATTGTACAACTGTAAATAGGCCCTGAATCGAGAAAAATAAAATAGAAGTAGCTCACTGTGCTTAAGCAGTTCAATTAACAAAATAAATGTCTTCAAAATTACTCTGCTCATTCCTAATAAAGGCTAAGTGCAGGACAATTATATACTTTTCTGCAATCTAAAGGCTTTACTTTACAGTCAGTTAACTTTTTCAACATTTCACTTTACATGGCTTTTTTCTCAAAGCCACTTTCAATCAAAATGGATGAAGTTTTCTAGGTTGCAGTTTTCTTGTTATCTGTTAAGTGGCTGCATTTCCATAAGGCTTTAAAAAAAATCATGGCTATTGACATTACAACTTCCACAGAGCAAAACAGACAAAGCTGAATTTGTACCATGAGATATGACCATTATTTTTGAGGGATAATTATTTAGATAATTAGAAAATAAAGCAACAACATATAATGGCTAAAAATAAAGTTTTGCCACATACCGGTATATGCGACAGGTAGAAACTTAAAGATAAAATATTTTGTTCCTGTTTTTTGGGACAACTTTAAATTGATTATAAAGCTTCATTTTTTTTTTTTTTTTTTAATAACAAACATGTCTATACTTACCTACTGTGTGCAGTGGTTTTGCACAGAGCAGCCTGGTTCCTCCTCTTCTTGGGTTCCCCGCTGACTCCCTCTGTCTGGTGCCCCCACAGCAAGCAGCTTGCTATGGGGGCACCTGCTTCTCCCTGTGTCCATTCACACATGGAGCTGAAGCTCAGCCCCACACCCTCTCTCTCTCCTTATTGGCTGACTGGCTGTGATTGACATCAGCGGGAGCCAATGGCTCTTGTTTGCTATCTCAGTCAATGAGGAGGCAGACACCCGGACACCCAAGGGACAGCCGAGGCTCAGGTAAGTTTTGAGGGGGCCTGGGGGCACAGCTGCACACAGACGTTTTTTTTTTACCTTCCTGCATAGAATGCAGGAAGGTGAAAAAACCTTTAGCCTTTAAAACCACTTTAAAGTCTTGTACATGGGTGTAATGTACTTATGCAGGATCCTAGAGGATCCACTTAGAGGCTGGCAGAAAGATCCTGCAGTAAAAATGCAAGTAAGGTCTGTAAAGTGTGTATGTGTTCACAGGTAAAGAACTGTAAATGTCCTTATGTGTGAATGTACTTTACCTAAAATTCTTCTTCCAATCTTTTTTTAGCCAAGGATTACATTCAGGCATGAACGACACATATATGCATGTACCCATGTGAACCATGGACACAATTTTTTCTATTTTTGCTTTACAGATCTGAATACAGTGAAGTGTTACTTAAATGTTTGCGCCATGTGTATTGACTCTGTGTATGCTGTATGTTTTGCGGTTCAAGTACAAGGACCCTAATTAAAAAGAGTGCTTAATGGAGTTTCTCTTTGTAAAACTATATTCTGTATAAAGGGAGTTTATGGAAAAAGAGTAACTGTCTCACTTATGGAGACTATGTTGCTTAATGATATTAAATAAAACACTTAGTTTGGTAGTGCAGTCACAAAAAATATACCCTACCCTACAGTCTTAAATTATATACAAAACATAACTTCTGTTATTATTTTCTAGCTTTTATTTAAAAAAGGACATATTACACAGCATCGGAGGAATACAGTATATGATTAGTGCACAAAGCAGAATTGGATTCTAAACTTTTGTATTTTTTGTTTTGTTTTTTTAGAAAGAAATTCCAAAACAGTGCATATGATGAGCAATGCAGCAGATGGGAAAATGCTCACATTCCAAAAATATGTTGATCAGATTTATTTGAAGAGCATGCTGCAGCCATATGCTGATCATAAGAAGCAAAAGATATTTCCCAATTTACTGTGATTGTTTCCAACTCCACTACTTTCCCTATTAAAATGTGATTCCAATATTAAATAACACTGAATCTGATAAAAATTAACACTTTTGTGTGAGGAGAGAGCGAGTTAGCTGTCAGAAATAAATAAGTAATAAGCTGTGCTAAACACAGGATATGTTTAATCTGGCAAAAAAGATCATTCTTTTTTTCTTGCTTGTTTAGTTTCTTTTTGAATCAGGCTAAAGAGCATGTGTTGGTGAAAAGTGGAGTTGCTGGCAGTTTTCCAGTATATATTCACTGACTCGATTTAGGCTGCTAAAACAAAATGTTATTAACCTACTCAATTAACTTACTAATAGGATCTTCGATCACCTTCTTAGTTATATCAATAGGATTTCATTAAAAATCACCATTTTAAATCAGAAATCACACTTTCCTAGACAAACCTCTCTGACACCTCACCTATTATATTAAATTTCAGAGTAAGATTTGATTGCTATCTCAGCTGTATGAGAAACTGTCATATCATCCAAGATGTTGTCATTCAGGTGCAAGGACAATTTTCTATTAGCAGTAACAGAGCTCATGAGCTGAATAGACACTGACAGCATGATCTGTTCAGTGGAAGAGCCAGTGGAGGACTACTAGATAAAATTGCTCCATGAACAGTATATCAGTTCTTGAATATGTCTTGTTTACCTTTGAGTAAAGAATATAATCTCACTGAGAGGCATGGGTGGACCTCCAGCAGCAAATAATGTGAAGACACTAAAACAATTTTCTAAAATTATTAATGGCTGCAAAAAGGTAATGCAGATTTACCCAGTGCAAAGTTTCTGGTCCAACACTGAAATCGCCTCCAACATGAGAAAGTGTATCTAATGAAATGTATTAGAAAATGTGATTTATTGGGAATTGGGTATATATAATTTAGTGAATGTGTACCTTCTGGCCATAATTATGGCTTTTAACAAACACATATATTTTTAGTCTGATTCAGACTCAAAGAGAAAGAAAGCACATTTTTTTATGTATACCTTTAGCTATTGCCACTACTCTGACTTTGGAGATTTATTTATTTCAGGTACTTATATAGCGCTGTCAATTTATGCAGCGCTTTACATACATATATTGTACATTCACATCAGTCCCTAACCCTCAAGGAGTGTACATTCTAAAGTCCCTAACTTACATTCATACATACACATACTAGGGACAATTTAGACAGGAGCCAATTAACCTACCAGCATGTCTTTTGGAGTGTGGGAGGAAACCCACAAAGTCACAGGGAGAACATGCAAACTCCAGGCAGGTGGTGCCAGGGTTGGGATTCGAACCAGCGACCCAAGTACTGCCAGGCGGAAATGCTAACCATTTAGCCACTGTGCTGCCCAGATGGGGAGATGGGGAGGTGATCAAAAACCACTGGTTATAGATAGGTAAAGAACACTTAAGGGTCAAGAAGAGCATGAAGTATGCTTCCTGGATCATCACAACCTCCAGGTTTAAATGTTTAACCACTTCAGCTCCAGAAGGTTTCCCCCCTTCATGACCAGGCCATTTTTTGCTGATCGGCACTGCGCTATTTCAACTGGTAATTGCGCAGTCATGCAACAATGTATCCAAACAAAATCAATGTCCTTTTTTCATGCAAACAGAGCTTTCTTTTGGTGGTATTTGATCACCACTGAGTTTTTTATTTTTTTTTTGTGATATAAACGAAAAAAGCACAAACATTTTGAAAACAAATGATATTTTCTAATTTGTCATAAGAAACACCTAATAAACTCAAATGTAGTCATAAATGTAGGCCAAAATGTATTCTGATATAGGGCTTTGGTAAAAAAAATCCCAATAAATGTATATTTCTTGGTTTGTGTGAAAGTTATAGCGCTTACAAACTATGCTATATACTGTATATTGGAATTTATGCAGCTTTACTTTCTGACTGCCTATCACATTTCTTGAGGTGCTAAGATGCCAGGGTAGAACAAAAACCCCATAAATTACCCCTTTTTGAAAGTAGACACATCAAGGAAATTTCTTAAATGTTTGTTGAGCCTATGGAAGATTTTATTTTTTGCAACAAGTTTTTAAAAAATTACAAGAAAAAAAAAAAGTTTTTTTTTCCACACAAGTTGTCACTTAAATTATATATTGCTCCCACATGTCATGGGTATATGTGGTATTACACACCAAAATACATTCTGCTTTTTATCCTGAGTAAGGTGATACCACATGTGTGAGACTTTTTTGGAGCCTAGCCATATACAGGAGCTTAAAAAGCAATGGCCACCATCACACTTTCAAAGGGTGTAATTTCCTCACTTCAATTCCCCAGTACCCATCACAGTTTCAGAAGCCCTGAAATGCAAGGATAGCATACCCCCCCAAATGACCCCTTTTTGGAAAGTAGATACCCCAAGCTATTTGCTGAGAGGCATGTTGAGTCTATGGCAGATTTTATTTTTAGACACAAGTTTC